AAAGTATTATCAAGGACCCTAACTCACTATTGATTCCCAGACGCTCCCGGACCCGGCGTGCGAGGAGAGAAAGCAGGCGACGTCGGGGAGTAACTGGGGCTGGTCGGCGACTGCTGTGCGCCAGGGCTCCTCTGGAAGCTTGGGCTTGTTGGGGAATAAGCCTCAGGAGACGTTGAACTGTGCTGGCGATGTCGGCGAGTAGTGTCTGGGAGACGAAGGTGACGTGGGCGAGTAGCTGGGTGACGTCGGGCTGTAGTTGGGGCTTGCAGGGCTTGTCGGACGCAACATCGGCGAGGTAGGAGAGAATGATGGTGATGATGGGCTGAAAGAAGGAGATGTTGGTCCATAGCGGCTCATGCCACCACCATCAATGAGAGGTGATGTGGGAGAGTATCCCATATTAGGTGATGACGGCGAGTAACTGAATGGCGATGTTGGGGATGTACTGCTGAAGGGGCTGGCCGCTCCGCGGTTGTACGGGCTAGCACCACCGAATCCATGATCACCAACAACGGTGAAGCCACCAGGTGATTCCGACCCAGCACCCTGGATAGGGGAGAAGTTTCCTGCAGCAGGAGAGTTGAGGCTGAGGTAGCCCGAATCAGCCATGGGGGAGCCAGTGTCGTAGGGAGTAGCAGCTCCTTCAACATCTCCGCCCTTGGTGGGCATACCTGCCATCAAGCCCATGCGAGAGTTATCAGAAATAACAGTCTCAAGCATCTTAGGATCCAGCAAGACATCAAAGTTACCGGTACCCATGGGCGCCATCTGACCTAGCATGACGTTCTCCGAGATACCACGGCAATCATCCAATTCACCTGTGGCGGCAGCTTCGAGGAGAATCTCGACTGTCTCCTCGAAAGAACAACGCATTAGAGCACCGGTGTCGGCTCGGTTGATACCATGTCGAGTGACCGCTGAAATGGAGCCTCTGTATGTCATCACATCAACAAGGAGGGCAATGTGACGATGGTTGACATAAGAACCGTCAAAGGCTAGCACGTTGGTCAACTCCTTCGCCAACGCGGCACGAGCAGCTTCAATACCAAAGACCTCGACGATTTGATACAGATCGTTTGTATATGTTCGAGTCGCGTCGACACCGTCCACGGCCAAAACGTCGCGAAGGGCAGTACCACTGGTATCCAGATACCACTGTGTGCAGCGGGGGTCATCCTTGATAGCAAGCAAAGCTCCATCAGGTCCTTCAGTGAGTCGGGTGCCCTTGGTGAGGAAAGCACGTTCAATGCCAGGAACGCCACGAAGAGTGAGAGTATCCAAGAGATGGGCCTCCAGGCGCTTGAGCATGACATCCTCCTCCATGCCACCTTCACCCTCCTCATCCTTGTCACCGGTTTGAAGGGTTCGAATACGGATGACCTGCTCATCGGCGTTGTTGTCACTGAAAATGACTGCCAGATCAGTAGGGTACTCCTCCTTGATGCGCTGAGCAACATCATCGATCTTAATCTCCTTATCCAGAAGCTTCTGTCGGTCCAGAGTAATACGTAGAAGCCATCGCGATTGGTTGGCGGTGGGGTCCACGCTCTCATCCGGGATCATGTAGTAAGACTCAACCATGTCCACATCTTCAGGGATGTTTGTTTCCGTGATGTTTGGATCATAGTAAATCTCAGTCACCGAGGTGACAGAGCGAAGGTTGGTGTATTCTACCATACTTCGAAGCTTCTTGGCTTGCTCTTGTCTTGCGAGCGGTGTGTTGAGGTACACAGCCATACTGGGAGTCTTGATGTTTTTGGCCAAGTTAAGAATTTCCTTGAGACGCGGCACACCAAGAGTAACGTTCTTGGACGACACACCAGCGAAATGGAAGGTGTTCAGTGTCATCTGAGTAGCAGGCTCACCAATAGACTGCGCAGCCAGAACACCAACCATTTCACCAGGGTTGACAAATGCGCGATCCCATCTGTTTTGGAGTTCACCCAGAATATGGTCGAAAGCCAATTTGTTCAGCCGATGCTCCTTGACCACCTCCTTGAAGGCCAGGCGAGAGCGGAGCAAGGCCTTGAAGAGAATGGATGCATTTGCGTCAGCTTCAATCGAGATTTCATCAGTACCACGAACAATCTTCATGCTATCCAACAAGTTTTGCACGGCTGGAATGACTTCAGAAGGCCGCAAGTTGCTTCTGTCATTGGCCTTGACATTGAAAACTCGCTTAGCGGACTCGATGATACGAGTGATGTTCAGTGGCAGCTGCATCATTTCCTCATTTCCCTTGGCCTTGTTGATCTGTCGCACTTGTCGGCGATCAGCTAACAGCTTCTCCCATTCTTGATCGAGATACTCCATAGATTCCTTGTCGCCAGTCAATTCGTTACCAAATTCGTAGTCATGCTTGAACCAGTCCGGAGGGTTGGCAAGATCCAGACGATATTTCTTCTCAAATGCCGAGTTTGACATATTGAGGATACCCAACTTCTGTTTCTCAATAATCATAGCATCGAGACCGTCTTCACCATAGAGGAACTGAACAATGTCTCCCAGGGAGTTTCGGACAGTTCCATCGTAACGGGCAGAAAGATCTTCCAGAGCCTTGACCAATCGTCGCTGAATATAACCTGTTTCGGCAGTCTTGACCGCAGTATCAATGAGACCTTCTCGACCAGCCATGGCGTGGAAGAAGAACTCGCTGGGAGTAAGACCACGGAGGTAAGAGTTCTCGACAAAGCCACGGGCCTCAGGTGAGTAATCGTCCTTGGTGAAGTGAGGTAATGTGCGATACTTGAAGCCAAACGGAATACGCTTGCCTTCGACAATTTGCTGACCGACAAGCGCAGTCATTTGAGAAATATTGATAGATGAACCCTTGGAACCTGAGGAAGCCATGGTGACAGCGTTGTTTGAATCCTTCAAACTCTTCTGTGTTGTGGTACCAGCCTTATCACGGGCCTGGTTCAGAGCCATGGAGACCTTGTTTTCGAAGGTCGCACGAACGTTCATACCAGGTAGGGCCTCAAGCTCATTCGCTGTGGCCATTGCTGTCAAGCGAGCAACTTCAGCCTTTTCCTCATCAATATGTACCTGAACTTTAGCAATGGTTGCCGCATCGGGAATTGTATCACCAATACCAATGCTATGACCATTGTTGAGAAGCCAGTAGGTGACAACTTGCTGGACACCGTTCAAGAAAGCCATCGCACCTTCAGGGCCAAGTTCGTTGTAGCTGATATGCACAATACCGCCCGCGGCAGCACCAATGTTCTTCTTAGTCAAAAGACCATACATCAGTTGGCCGGCTTGGATCAGAAGACCCTCATCCTTAAGAGGGGCGTTTTCACCAGAATCCGTACCGTTGAACAGGCTAACCTCCTTAGGGATAACCATGCTGATGAGCTGCTTACCAGTCCACCGAGGACGAGGCTTATAGATAGCAGGCTGAGGAATGACACCGTCCCAGTTAGGCACCCAGAGCATACAGTTCATGATTTGCTCCTTTGTGAGGAAAACATCTCGACGGCAAAGCTTGTAGGCACCAGCCAGAGAGTCCTGGACGATACCCATCAAAGGACCGTTCTTCTGAGGAGAAACAATGTTCAAGGGAACTAGACAAAGCTCTTTGACCTCGGCGCGTGTTTCCTCGCTCTGGGGGACGTGAAGGTTCATCTCATCACCATCGAAATCGGCGTTGTAAGGAGAAGTAACAGAGAGGTTGAGACGGAAGGTTGAGTACGGCATGACACGAACACGATGACCCATCATAGATTCTTTATGCAGAGAGGGCTGACGATTGAAGATGATGTAGTCACCAGTCATCAAATGACGCTCAACCTTCCATCCGTACTCAAGAGAAATCGCACCAGCACGGCGGTGATGGCGTAAATCGATTCGCTGACCATCAGCTCGGATAACATACTTGGCACCAGGATGTTCGTTGGGTCCATTCTCGACAAGCTGATGCAGCTTTCCGATGTTGTAGGGTGTCACAGTTTCGGGATAGGTGAGAGTCCTGGCAATACTGCGAGGGACACCAACCTCGTGTAGAGAAAGGTTGGCATCACCAGTAATGACAGTACGTGCCGAAAAGTCGACACGCTTACCCATCAAGTTACCTCGAAGACGACCCTCCTTACCCTTTAGGCGTGCACGAATAGCCTTCACAGGTCGACCACTCTTCTGAAGAGCACGAGGTTGGCCAGCAATATCGTTGTCCATGTAGGTCGCAACATGATATTGCAAGAGCTCCTCGAAGTCTCGGGCAATGTGTTGCGGGGATCCTTCACGAATGGCTTGCTTGACATTTCCGTTGGCACGAATGATATCACCCAGCTTGTATGTCAAATCATCTTCGTTGCGCATACCAGTGCCCGTGCCATCCATGGAGATACTGGGACGGACTGGGGGTGGTGGCACAGGAAGAACAGTAAGAACCATCCACTCGGGACGAGCATAGTCGGAGTTGAGGCCCATGTTGATAAGATCATCCTCCGTAATTCTCCTCAGAATGCTGTGCGCCATCTCGGGGGTGATAGGTGTTGTCTCCTTCTTCTTCGACTTCTGTCCATCTTCATCGACTGTAACTTCATCGAAGGCAGCTTTGAGCTGTAGGGCTGCTTGTCGAACGTTGGGCTGCATGTTACCGCAGCCACCGTGACCTCTCGGGGGGCCAGTCTTCGTGCCGAACTCATCGTCCTTTTGCTTCGCCTCGTCGTTCTCACATCTCCGCTTCTTCTTGCAGACTTCCCACACGCGGTTGAAACGGACTTTAGGATCTCGAGTGTTAATGGCGTTAACGAACTCAGGATCTCTCTGATTAGGCGGTTAGCAACAAAAGTTAAATAGCGTCATACAGCGAGACCAACATCATCGGCTAGCACTTTGCTACAGTTGTGGCAGACTATCTCCAAAATCTTTTTGACTTTCTTGATAAATCCGGGATGGTAGACAGGTTTGGCCAGTTCGATGTGGCCGAAGTGGCCAGGGCACTCGCCCATTGCTTGGGTGCAGGTTTTGCAACGGAATTGTCGATCGATTGATCCGAGGAGCGGGTCGTTGAGGCCACCATCACGAGGCTTGGTTTTGTTCTCCTCCATCGTTTCGGGATAAGTAATGTGGCAGACACTCATGTTCTTGATCTCCTCGGGAGACATTAAACCGAATTGAATCTCTTCCACTGTCTTGAGCGGAGCGCTCGAATGGGTGAAGTAAAGGTTGGCCATGGTGGCGATATGTGATTGTTCTGGCGTGGAGTGGAAAGGAGCGAGAAGCGAGAGTAGAGATCCAAACGCGCGCCGGAACGCAAAGAAACGCGAAAAGTAGAAGAAAAGTGCAAAAAGATGCTATTAAAAAGGTTTTTGGTCGCGCAAGGCTGTAAAGTCGATAATAAATTCTCTCAAATGCGATTGTTTGATGGGCGATGAACAGCAACGCCTGTCCTGGCCACTGGCTCAGGTGAACCTCAGGCTGGTCTCCCCCGTCGCCGCCACCTTGTAGGTTGCAGAAACTCGAAAAATCGCGGTCGGCGATATCGTCGATCGTTCGTAATCGGTAGGTAAGCTGTTTCGATGGGATGCGCGCGATGCCCGACGCGCGCTGTGATGACTTTGTGTTGTAGGCAAAGTTTTGTCGTGGTTAAAGCGAGAAGGTCGGGGGAAGCCTGAAAGATTCTGGACTTGAGAACGGCTGGCAGCAGTTGTGCGCTAAGCCCTTTTTGGCCTCCCTGAACTTAGGGTGTTGCCTGAGGCTTGTTGCACGCGCGAGTAGAGCTACTTTGCTGCATGCTGTCGGGCGCTGACTAAACACGAGATCTTGGTGTAAAGTGGAAACCAGTCGCGCTTTTTAGATGGAGACTTAAAGTATAGATACTTGTACCCCTAAGATATTGGATCCAATCACGCCCTCTGACGTTTGAGATCCGGGCAGTGACTCAGGCTATGGCGAAACAGCTCCTTATCATTGATTCTGCGCATTTGATCCTCGAATCAGCTTGCATGAACTTCTATGAAAGTTGTGGGCGAGGAAGGAAGAAGAAAGACACGCCTTGACTACATTAGTACTCAGAAGCACTATGAGACATGCCTTAGGGAGCAAAACATCAGACCTTGNNCCCAAGTTTTCTTTCCTCCCCTTGACATGGTGTATCGAAATAGGTCTTGTAAGTCTTGAGAAGGAAATCTCATAATTGATTCTTTATGTTTCTCTGGGCTAAATTTTTTCATTCATCCTATCATTGAGACGAAAATGGTATGTTTGGCAATCATCCCTATTCCATGCAGCTTTAAGTAGCCCCTCCGAATGCGACAAAGGCCCCCTTTGTTCTTTGCTGTCCATGTTCCCCCCATCATCTCCTTTGTTGTCTACTAACGCTTTCGGCTTCTTTTCCCGGCGGTGCTTTTCTGAACGGGTATCTTTTCCTCCAAATCGCTTTGACCCTCTCCAGGACTCCTACGTCTCATGGTGCCGGTTGATACTGCGATGAATTCGTCCTCGCTGTCGCTCTCCCCGAGATTAAACAGAATTGGCATCCGAAAGCTTTCTCCCTCGTCCAGGGTTTTTGATGGATCCAGGGTCAAGACATCAACCTCTTCATCTTCAGCATCTAGTCGCCGTCGGTGTATCTCTTCTTGCGCATAGATATCAAAGTCATCTTCCCGCTCGATGTACTCAACGTTCTCTTCCACTTCAGCAAAGTCAGGCGCCAGCGCCGACCATTTTTGCGGACTGACAACAGACCATATGTATATGCGACCAGTTTCCAGGCCACAGGCTGCCAAAAGCGCGCGGGTGGGATGCCACTCTATCACGCCTTGTTCTTCTTTTGGGTCCTTGAGCATGCAAACCAGACTGCCATGATTGCGCTCCCACACGTACAGCTCGTGGTTGTTGTACGTCGAGGCTGCGACATATTCACCAGTTGCACTGAACGTGACATGATTCCATGATAGCCTGTTGACAACATCCTGGAACTTGTGCTCCAGTGGTAATTGTAGTGTATCGAGGTCGAGATTCTCGGCCAGTAAATTTGGCACTCGGAAAGTTCGAATAATTCGGTCTTGGCAATTGACCAATAACTCGCGTCCTGATACCGTCATTCGCATGTTGGTAATGGCACTCGAACATATCCTCTCCGACCAAATAATTTCGCATGTCTTTGCATCGATGATATTGAGCTTTCCTTTGTTGGTTCCGGCGAGCACATGATCTCCGGTTGTACTCCAGATCGCAGAAGTTGTCATTTGTTTGGCATCTTCTTTAGCTTGCTTCTCGCGCAGTGCTGCATCGTCGGTACTCGGTCGCTTCGCCGCTGATGGGAGTATACGTTTCACGTCGACGGGGTCGGTTATGTCGACTAGAAGTGGCTGCTCTTCGTATAGCGCTGCGACAAATTTAAGGCTGACTCAAGTTAGTCAAGCTCGAGAGATGGTCGCGCTTCCTTACTGGTTCCATGGGTGAGGCTCAGCCATATACGCAGGCGCGCGAAGGCGAACCTCGCGTAGACGCTTTCCATCCTTAAGGTCCCAAAGGATAGCTTTCCATCCGTGGCAAGCCGTGAGAAGATACCGTCCACATCTTGACCAGCTCGTGACTGTGATACTCTTATTATGACCCCTCAGTTTCCTCGCGACTCCCATCGTATCCAGATCCCAAATTACAACGGTTCCATCGACTCGGCCCGAAGCAAGGTAGTCGCCCTGCCGATTGAAACGTAGAGTTGTCGCATGTCCTGAACGGATCGTATTTGTGATGTGCTCGGGGTAATCTTGGAGAAGATAGTCATCTGAGAGTAGGAGATTCATAATAGCGATATACTGAAATTCGGCGTCATAGAATAGCAGTTGGAGTAAGGAGCTCGTGTTCCATTGACAAAAGTGTTTGTGCAAGCTCTAGAAACTGGCTTCAGCCGTGCTGTTGGAGGTGGGCTTGGTCTGCAAGGCTACAGGCGCAGGCCCACACGACCTCGGGAGGCGTGCGAATAGAAATGTGGCTGATCCTTTGTTCTTCAAGGTCACTTTTGTCTTGGACTAAGATGAATGAAAGTTTTTCCAAAGAGTCGTTCTTCATAGAAAGGATCCGTATGATTTCATTCCTTAGGTGTAGTTAAGGGTGATGTGCTCTCTGTTCTTAGAGGTTTGTACGTAGTAGCCGTCTGTTACCTACTAACCTATGGAGGTACGCAAAGGCTTGAGCGAAGCTTTGGGTCCCGTAGTTACTTGTACTGAGGGGGCGCAGATGCTTCCAAGTTATTCATCATCTCAAAACTACCTACCTACATAAATGAATCATGAAGATTTTTATATACCTATTTAATAGTTCAGAGTTTTGTCAGTTTTGTTAGAATTCCCAGGCGCAAATTGCACGTAACTTTGTACATTTGTTAGCTATGGCATTTCTCTCTTACATTTCTCTAACCCCAAGAAGTATATAAAATATTCACTTCTCCACCATGTCGAGTTACTGTACATTCACAAACAAACCATACTTGTACTGAGTCACAAACACCAGAGTCCAGATACAGCCAGCGGATAATATTTCAGCCATCTTTCTTCCTTCCACGGTCAAACTCTCATCGAAGCTTGGATAATGGCGAATTCCAAGTGAGTCATCGCATTGCCTGTACCTAAATCATCGCTAATCTAAGGATCACAGGTTTGAATATGTCCGTAACTTTGAGACGCCAGATCCGCTCTTACCCAACACATGGATCGTGGTGCGAGTCGATGGCAGAGGATTCACAAAGTACAGTTGGTTTTCGGTCTTCCAATGAGTCTTCTAACAGTTGATAGAATGTGCGCCAAGTATGGCTTCGAGAAGCCAAATGATCGCCGTGCCCTTGATCTTATGAACACAGCTGCCAGGGCCGTCGTGACTGAGCTACCAGAAATCACAATTGCATACGGCGTCAGTGATGAGTACAGGTTCGTAAGACGAACCCTGTCAAGGCTTTTTATGACTAACACTTCCAACAGCTTCGTCTTTCACAAGGCATGCACTTTGTTTGATCGAAGAGCCAGGTTCGTTTACAATCACTCTCCCGTCCTATGCTGCGTCCAAAACTTACAACTTCCTAGTAAACTTGTCAGCACTGTCGTCTCGGCATTCACTGCGAACTATGTATACTTTTGGTCGACTCACTTCCCCGATAGCCCATTATCTCCTCCACTGCCATCCTTCGATGGACGGGCAGTGTGCTACCCTAGTGTTCAAAATCTCCGGGATTACATGAGCTGGAGACAAGCAGATTGTAGGTTTTACAGCTATACAAATAAACCTGACTAACATAACCCAGGCCATATAAATAACCTCTATAACACTTGCTTCTGGTCTTTGATCCAACTAGGAGGTCTTGACAACAAGGAAGCTGAGAGTACTCTGGCGGTAGGTGGCCATATTGCGGAACTTGAACAAGCTGACTGTATCAGCGCACATTGGCAGCAGACAAAAACGAGATACTCTTCTCCCGCTTTTCCATCAACTACAACAACGAGCCCGAGATATATAGAAAGGGTAGTGTTATCTTCCGCGACGTACGTATCGGTCTACACTTCCCTGCAACCCAGCACTGACACTGTACAGTATGAACTGGTTGACCCTAACTCTCACAATACCATGCAAAAAATCGACTCTCAAGCAGAGCCCATTGAGCAATCAAAGTCCCAGAAGGAGAAGGACAAGAAGAGCCGAGCCAAAGCTCGTGTGGTGGTGGAACACATGGACATCATCAAGGACGATTTCTGGAACCAAAGACCATGGCTCCTTTCCAACAAGCCCGGGAAGATTCCAAAACAGACGTAAATATACATCTATGGGGTATCATCCAAAAGTTCCATTAACCTCAACTCCGTGAATATGCTTTCGCTGTATATGCCTTCAAACTCCGATTTTCCATGTCCCTCTATATTCTATTTCCCAGCCTCTTTAGCTCTTTGCCTCCTTTTCTCTTCTTTCTTTGCGCGCCGCCGTCTCTTCTCCTCATCTGCGTCGCTTGATTCTGCTGAGGACTTGGAGGATTTGGAAGACTTTTTCGACTTGGACTTGAGCTCTCGGCGTGCTGCTTTCTCGGCCCTTCTCGCGGCCCGCGCTTCCTTCCGTTTCCTCTTTGCTTCTTTTCGGGCTTTCTTCTCCTCCTTTGTCTCTTTCCGAGGCTTGTCCTTATCAGACTTGTCGCCTTCTTGCTGGTCACTGGATTCGGTTTCGGATGACTCCGTGCTCGAGTCGTTGATCGTGAGCTTATCTATTGTTCCTTCGAGGAATCCGCCTCGTACGAAGGTCGTGTATACGGAGTATTTGCCGAGGTTCTTTTCGAGGGCGTTCAGCTTGCCAGTGGTGACAGTCTGAACCACTTTCCCCTCCTTGGACGTATCGATACCCTTGAGTTGCTCATCAAACGCGTTCATCCACCATTGGTCGCTAGTGAAATGTTGCTTCTGGCCCAGTCCTCGAGTATTGTCTTTGCGATTCAGCAGTAGAGGTTTCGCAAGTCCAATTGAGTCGTCGATTTTATGTAGGGAGTGTCCGGTTCCTCGCCAGCCTTGGGAGGAGAGCAGCGCATGTGCATCCATCGTATTGTTTATAGTTGAGTTCCTCTTGGGACCAATAATATGGGTGTTGATATGGTCTCTGTCAAAGAGGGAACGGGATAAAGAATTGGAGGTTTGAAAGTTGGATAGTCCAGGGTCGCGATTGGGAATTTTTTTAGCGGGGCTGGCTTATCGGACCCCAGATTGATCTTATCAATGCTTGTTGTCTACTACCTTACCTACTTTAGCAGGCAAGAACCGCCCCCTCCCCCCAAAAGAAAAACACTTATCCTGAGACAATATAAACAAACCGAAGTTCAACGTAGTGAAAGATTGCTATTTTCTACATAGTTATGGTAAAGCTTTACATAAACAGTTTTATGAGAGGGTAAATTTAGAGACAGCCTGACCGTTTCAGCCACCTCCACGATCTGGGTAAACTCCGGTACAGGGATAGCCATGGGGCTCACGTGCCATCCATCAGGCATAGGTTGGTTGAGGTAAGTTTGCGACAGACCACGCCTCGATTTATTAACTCTTTCAACCCTTCACCTCCCAACCCGCAAAATGCCCATGGACGAACGCGAGCTTGGGCAGCGCATCAAGGCGCTGACAAAGTGTGTAGCAGCGAATGAGCCCCCCGAGAACGCCATCAAGTTGCTCGAGACATTGAAGAAGGATGCTTCTCCCACCGAAGAGATGCTACGGGTACGTACGCGGTTCAGGAAGCAATAGAGAGAGCGCTTTTATGCGCGCGTTTTGAATATATACACATCTTGTTCGGTTTGCGCAAATGCATGGTCGCATTTCTCGCCTTTCTTTCGTCAACACTGCGATCTTGGCGGATCTATCGGACATTGCACTCTTGATTCCACAGGGACTGTGCTGATACTGAGATCTTCGTCACAGGCTACAAGAGCCGGCGTTTTTGTCGGCAAACTTCGCTCAAATTCCAACAAGGACATCGCCCGTGCCGCCGCCGAACTCGTCAACAAGTGGAAGAAGCTGGTCGAACAGGAAAAACACTCGAAACTACAACGTGCAAAGGTCGGCTCAGGATCCCCAGCCCCAGCTCCATCATCAGCGCCCGCGTCATCTCCTGCTCCTCCCCCTCCATCATCAGCCGGTGCCTCTGGGGCCAAGTACAAGGGCGACATCGAGAAGCGAAAATACGAGACCGACAACGTGAACGTCAAGCGCACCGATTCTAATGTTCGAAACTCATGCATTGGGCTTATCTACAATGGCCTCGCCTATCGATCAACGGCAACCGAGACCGACGTCATTACTAGAGCCGTCGCTGTTGAGCATGCCGCTTATACCAAATTCAAAGGAGAAACGCCCGATTACAAGAAGAAGATCCGATCACTCTTCACCAACCTGAAGAACAAGTCCAATCGGGAACTCGGGCGTAGCGTCTTGTCTGGTGAGATCACTGCGGAGAAGTTTGTTGTCATGACCGATGACGAGCTCAAGAGCGAGGAGCAGCGCAAGAAGGAGCTTGAACTAGAAAAGGAGAACATGAAGAAGGCCCAAGTCCCGATGGCTGAGAAGAGTATTAGTGAGAGTCTGGAGTGTGGTCGTTGTAAGAAGAAGCAGGTCAGCTACACGCAGGCGCAGACCCGAGCTGCTGATGAACCTATGACAACTTTCTGCGAATGCATGGCGTGCGGGCACCGATGGAAGGTAAGTCTCGTCACTTCCAACAAAGTTTTGGTGACGTAACTAACGCGCGATACCTCAGTTTTCTTAATAATATACACGGAGTCTGGAGGATCAGGATGCAACAATGCTAAAC